TCCCGTCGGGGATGACGCCGCCCGCGACGAGCGTCGCCGACTCCTGCGAGTTCCCGCCCACGCGCACGCGCACCGACCCGACCCGCGCGACGATGTTCGCCATCAGGTTCAGGAACGGCACCTGGATGAACGACGCGTTTTTGCCCACTGTGTAAGCCGTTAGTTCTGTTCTGTTCTTCGTAAAACAAATCGACGAAAAAGTCGCAGGAACGAAGAGCGAGAAAACAGACTCACAAACTTGATTCGACACACTCATCTCGATGCTGAACCCCACGAAATCCCCGCTCTGCTCGATGCTCGCGCCGGGCGTCCCGCCCGTCTGCAGCTGTATGTTGAAGGTGCTCGGCACGGCGGGGGTGGGGACCGGCGGCGGGAGGAGCGTCGTGGGGTTGTACGCCGCCGCGCCCGTGTACGCCGCCGCGCTCGCCGAGGACGCAGTGGCGCCGAGGATGACTTGCCCCGGGGCGGTGTAGACGGTTATTTGTGCATGGGCGAGGGGGAGGAGGAGGAGGGGTAGAGGGAGGAGCATGCTGAGGAGGAGAAAGAGAAAATGTGGAGCGTGCTGACGGCGTGATGCCAAGCTTAAAGCCAAGCGTGCCGAGGTGCCGCCCGATCGCAGCAAACGTACTTGGTCGATTTTTGAGTAGAACAAATTCAAGCGTAGACCTCTCTCTTGGAATCCTGACATTCTTGGCACACCTATCCACGCTCGCACGCAGGCGAGCAAGTCTTCGTGGAGTACGAAACTCACTCCCAACCTAATGGGAGAGCCGGTGGTTCGAACCCACTCGAAGACATGCAGTGGATCTCCACGTCTGTATGTGCATTTTTTGCCAGCTCTACTGTTTTATTCAGTTTCGAGTCCGCAGCTCAGTTCCGCAATTCGAGCTTTCTCAAACAAAAAATGCACAAAAGACACCGATGCGAGCAACAGCTTCCGAGTCATACGCGGCAAGAGTTTGCACATACCTAGATTCGTAAGAGCCAGGAAGTCTTCGTGGAGTAGGAACTCACTCCGATCGATCGAACGTATCGACAGTTATAGCATCAGGGAGAGCCGGTGGTTCGAATCCACCCGAAGACATGTGGCCTTCATCCCGTTTTTCATTGCTGCCTTTTTCCTCTCGGCACACCAAATTTACGCCGACACATTCAGGTCTATGACAATTCACAGAAGTCTCCGTGGAGTACAGTACACTTTACGGTGGGTGGAAATCCGAAGATACAATGATTATTCGCATGTTGTCCTGAACCGACACTAAATGTGCCTCAATCTATCCGAGTTTCCAAGTAAGCCAGGAAATATCCGTGGAGGAGGAACTCACTCCCATTCAATAGGGATGGTCAGAATAAAGCCCAGAGGCGGTTCTGAGGGCGGTTCTGGAGTCGGTTCTCGAATTAATAAATCGTGGGAAAAACCGGAAACGCCTCGATTTGCAGAACCGCCTCTGGAGGCGGTTCTGCATGCGATTCCGGTTCCGGTTCTGGTTCTCGCTCTCAGGCTTAATGTTGTAAAGGAATCCAATTATTTATTAAGTGCAATTGCTGCTATTGGCGCGTGTCCGGACAGATTCAAGTCCAGGATGTGATTGGTGCACCGTGATAGTCCATGGCAGCGGGTAAGCTGCGAAAAGGTAACCTGATTAGACGCCAAACCGGGATAGGTCTCGACCGCAGATCATCCAAAACCGGTAATCCTTAGCCTTGCATCAAAAGTTGCGGATCGCCAAAAATTAACTCACAGTGTCAAGCTTTTCCGGAACAGCTGTAATTACATACAATACTTGTGTCCCGCTCCCACCACGCACGCTGCGGTCCCACCCAAACTCGACCTCACAGAGTGACATGTGTGGGAGGAGTGGAGAACAGGTGTTGTATTTAATTAAACACTTAGTTCTACTTTGTTAATATGAGATGTGAAGATTACAAAGGCCTTTGTAGCATGTTACAAAGGTCTTTGTTGCATGTCACACAGACATGCCGGGCACATGCATGCATTGCACTTGGATGACAAGTGCCCCGGTCACTGCCCCCAGTGTGATGCAGCGTCAGTCTGCGTCAATGTTGGCGTCAATTTTTCACCTTCCTGCGTCAGTCCTGCCGCTTGCAGCATCAATCCGGCATCAATTCAGCGGCAGTCCAAGTCGTGACACAGCGTCAATGTGACACATCTGCGTCAGACTCCAGTCTTCAACAACTCTACAGTCCTCATTGTTGTCAGTGCAACACTCAGGTTCATGCTAGTCTCCGTGATTGTAGTGGTCAACCAGACCCCACTCTGATGCTATTGATGATAATCAATCCCCAATTTTGTCCTGCGTACATACTCCGGCAGAACATCATTCAACATCAGTTCAACCTTGCCAGCCCCATGAGTGTGCCCTTTGCCATCAAAGCCAAATTTCTCCATAATATGCCACTGAATTGTCCATGATGCTATCTTCCCCATACATGGTCATTCCAAGACCCTGTGGATTGGATCAATGGCCTCCGCCTTCGTCTCAGATCTCTGCGCCAGTTTCCCAAGGTACCTCCATATGTGGTATATTAATGCTGTTTCCCCTATACTTCATCTTATCTTCTAGTGAATACTGAATTTTGAACGAAATGCGAGGTTTCAGTGGTTGTACAACGCCTGCGGCACAAATCTTCGCCAACGTCAGTGTCAACACAGCCACCCTGCGTCAGTCTGCGTCAACTTTTTTTTTTTCAGGCTTATTTGAAGCATTCTGCAGATTATGATTCAGGACATTAGGATTGTCTCTGGGGATCGCCTTGTAAGCGCCAAATACATTCATTTGGCATTGGAAGCAAGTTATTCAAAAAGTAGTTTTGAGTGGGAAAACACCCGGGCTCGCATACAGGTCACCTAATGGAAGGGACATCCACCTGATGTATCCGGAAGCCTCACAGACCGAAGATATCCTATCCATCGCTGAGATACTACCGCAGACACACTTTCAAGTCCATTACAATCACTGGGATATCTACGGTTGCAATCTAGTGTCAGATTGGAATCTCAGGCTGAATTAATGGCAAGGAAAGCTTATTTCTTTGATTGCAGCCTCGACTAGGCACACTCACCGACTCCCTAAGCCGCTTCTCTTTGATATCCCTAGGGCTCTGAAGAATACATCACCCACGGACTTACAGTAGAGCGGGTCATAAAGCATAAGGTCATATTGCATAAACCTCATAATGCATTGGGTTTGGCCATCCACCAACTTGGTAGGCTGGGATTTACGCAAAAAGTGCATAATGCATAATGCATAGCGTGTGGAAGGGGGCCTGTCAGCCATTTATGCAGTACGAGATTCAAGAAGTGGGCCAACAAACCTGTTTGAAGGCTGAGAATGACTCATTTCTGAGGGTATTTTTGAGCTACTGATACTCTCATGAGCTACGAACTACAATCGAACTGTAAACACAATGCTCATTGGAAAAAAATGCTCCTGGTTCAATTTTTTCTTTGCATGAGAAATGAATAACACCCCCTTTCTTAATGTACAACTGTATCACTCAATGCATAAACCTCATAATGCATAGGGCTTGATGGTCCACGGGGCTTATGCATTATGACCCACTCTACTGTATTTCATATTTGCTTCCCTTTTGCCAACCTCTTCAGAGCATTGAGTCTTTTCTCGGTGGTCCCTACAACGGTACAATGCCTGGGAGTCTGGGACACCGCTTTGACACATAAATGAACCAAAATTGAGGGCAATGCAATGCCAAAGTCGATATTAATTAGATGACGAGGGCGATGGTGAACATTTTTGGGTGTGGTTGGCGAACATTGGCGGTGTTGAGAGTGTACTGAGGTATCAAGTAATATACATTGATATTTAGTCTTGAGATGTTTAGGCGTCGACTAGGGTATACTGCAGCGTGACCCGGCGTCAGTGTGACATTGCTGCGTCAATCAGGTATTTTGACGCGGCAGTACTGTGTTAATCAAAACGTCAAAATGTCGGTTAGCACCAAGGGGCTGTCAGGATTAAAATTTCGGATATAGGGTGGGGGGGGGGTCTGACCGAGGGTTGAAAAAAACTTTTGAAGGTACATTTCAAAGGAGCTTCCCAACGTTCCAAAATGACTGTAAAACGATAGTCAGAGGGTGGGCAATGTTTCTGGGTCCTCAAAAGGTCATCGGTAGAGAGTGTTCCCAATTGGGAAATATCACGAGCACGTGCCCACTTGATCTCACCGAAATATGCAAAGAAGCTATTGTATGATGAACCTTACAGATCTGAATTTAAAGGAATGAAGGGAGCAGACTCAAATCAATACTGGTGGACACTATTTACACCCAGGAACAATAATTTCATCAGAATATGAGAGATACTATATGTTTCACTTGCCATCCATGTCTTGAGGCCCAAAGGAGTAGAGAATTCCAACATGCTGTCTGGGCACACCCAGCAATGAATGGGAGCAACCTTCCACTGAATACGATGGTCGCGATAAAGGCGCGCATGATACGGGTGAGCGGCCCGGTGCTAGGGGTGGGAAACTCCTTCCCTATATGGAAGGAGGGAGGGGGGGGGGGGGGTCTAGAGGGAGGTTGAAAAAAACTTTTCGGCCTGATATCCAATTTTCGAATTCCGACAGCCCCTTGGTTAGCACTTTCACCGTGCCCTAAATCTCCCCTTCTCATCTGCATTTTTTTACCAATTCTACTGTTTTGTTCAGCTTCGAGTCTGCGGCCCAGTTCCGCAATTTGAGCTTTCTCAAACCACAAATGCACAAAAGACACCGATGCAAGCAACAACACAACTTGTCCTTCCGAGTCATGCACGGCAGTCGCACATATCCAAATTCACAGCCTGCACACCAAACCTTCAGGACCTCTTGATGTTCATGACAGCTCATACGAGTCTCCTTGGTGGAGATATTCCTTACAGCAGTCTCGAAAGATATACAGCTGTCATTATTCACTTTCATTCTGGAGCCACCTCTGCTTTTCCTAAACCTATCTAGGTTCAAAGGGAAGTCAGGAAGTCTTTGTGGAGTAGAAACTCACTCCCATCGATTAGGGAAGGCGCTTCTGATTATCAATCGGGGAGAGTCGGTGGTTCGAATCCACCCGAAGACGTGGCAACGAAAAAAAAAGATCCTATATTGTTCACAGTCTCTATGAACAGTTTTTCTATGTAGTATAATTATTCATTGATGGGTTTTCTTTTCCTTTCTTTCTCAACTCAATCATGGAAGCTAACTAGTATTTATATAAGACTGGCATCATACATTTGCCCCCCTCTTATCTTTGTGCATCCACCTTTCCCACGTAATGTGTAACCATTTCTCTTTCAGCCAAGAATTTCAAGTTTTTCACCATGTTCCCTCTCAAGATTGGCAATTCTGTCATTGAGTTGAGCTATATCTTTCGCTTGTGATGACCTCTCAAACAGTGGTCGAGCTTCGGTCCAAAGAGTTACTGCCTTGAGCAGATCTCCTTGCTTTTGTGCCATATCTCCTAGATGTAGCATGCACCGTGCCCTACTATAATGAACATCCATTCGAGTGAAGCCCTCTAAAGCCACAATCATGAGATTTTCTGCTTCTTGTTCATCTCCTTGTGCAAGGAATACCTGTCCAAGAAAACAGAGTGCTTTGTACAATGCCAACTTCTGGTGTGATTTCTTCGAAAATGCCAGATAAACAACTGTGAATGTAGATGCAAAATCAAAATCATCAGTATCCCATCGGTTGATGTCAGACATTATCTCCAGACAATAAGATGCAGACTCAGCACTTCCAACCAAGGACCACTGGAGACATTTGGCCAACATAGCTTTTGCTGTATAAATCTGCCCTTCCCTCAACTCCAGTTCTGCAAGAACTATTTCACAAAAATTCAATTCTATAAGAGGTTCATTGCCATATAGCCTTTTTGCTTCACTGAGATTTTGGCGTACATCATTTTCCTTGCCACCAAGCCTCACATCTATCTGTGCAATATACTGAAGAGCAATAGCATGTACATAGCTATCTCGCTCTGCAGATGTGTCTTGAGCAATCTGAAGGTGAATTACTCTGACCTCAGTGTATTCTGATTTCCGCATATGCACCACTCCCTGGGCATGCATCAAGAGATAATTGAGCTGAGATCTAAACATGCCAGAAAGGCCTAGAAGCATTCTTGCTCTTTGCAGAAGGAAAGCACTGGATGTGAATTCACCAAGACTGGTGCAACACATAGCTTTGATTCGCAATGCTTGTGCCTCCTGGAATAGATTTGCAGATGAATTCGCAAGTTGTTGTGCCTCAGTTGCAAGTGACCGTCCTGCAGCAAAATCACCCATGTTCCATTTTGCGTATACAATTCGGATCAAAATCTGTGCCTGCCCTCTTGTGTTTCCAGTGGATTTTGCTAGGCTAAGGGCCTTCTCAAAAAAGTACATAGCTTCAGACAAATCGTGTGCTTGGCTATCGTTGTAGTGACCCAATGCAAAATAGAACTCAGCTATTAAATATGTTTATCAGGATATAGTCATGAATACCATGTCAGTCGACTTACATTCAACAAGTGAATCATTGAAAAAATGGAGGTAGGATGTAGCTCGTGCAATGAGTATCTCTGGATTTGTAACAGATTGATAAAGTGTGGATAAGAGAACCTCTGTGATGAATTGCACTTCCAGTCTGTGATCACAAGGTTGGGGGAAAACATTTGGAATTTCATCCATCAATGCAGTCCGGCCATCCCCAGTCATTCGACCGAAGTGGTTGAGAGAAAGAATGCATCTGATAGTATCTGCCAGATCCGGATTTTGTGGATGTAAGCCTCGCAATAGCACCTGGTGAAGATTGTGGAAATTGAAAATTATTTGATTGATCCGGTTAGACACCTGATAAGAGCCCCGGTATGTTCGGTAAAGATCCAAAAGGAGATGAAAATGCTTTCGAAGAGGTTGAACCAGAGAGTGTGGAGCTGGGTGGAAGTATTGTATATGCTCCCGAATAGGCACAAGTAATTTCAACCTTTTCTTATCATCAACAAATGCCAATGAAGTAGACAGCAATGCAGTTTTGCATGCTAGTACATTCTGAATGGGAAGATGACTTTGAAGGAGTTCAATATCTGAGATCCCATCTGGAAGGATGGCAAGGAGAATTAATAGATCCCTGGCACCAGGTACTGCAGTGAGCCGTGGGCTCGAAAGGGAGATTCTGATAGATGTGTCTAGATTCGATCGTTTGTCTTGACCTTGGGAAATGAAGGTGGTCTTTTCTATTTCCCAACGAGAGAGAACATTGGAAGATCCATCATAAGCAACTAGATGGGCCATAAGGTCAACTGCCAGTGGCATGTTATCAGTCAAGTAGAGTAGCTGGTTCATCTCCTTGGTTTCATGGACATCATCTGTAATGTCCATGAACATTTGTCGGGCCGCCTCAATTGACAAGGGTTCCAATGGTGACAAGAATGGCCGTGTCCAGCGAACTTTGGCTGGCCTTTCAACGCCTCTCATAGTAATCTATCAATTAATGAGCAAGGGACATTACAAAAAAAGAAAATCTCACAATCAATGTAAGCTGCTTGATGCTAGTAAGCAGTGAGAGGAACTCTTCAACACCACTACGAGCCATGACTGGCTCCCAAGCTGTTTCCAAGTTGTCCAAAATCAACAAACAAGTTGGCTTTCCAGACAGGCATTGGACCACTGATTTTGTGAGGTCTTTTCCTGCTTTAAGCTCTAGATGAGCCCCAAGTAGAGCAGCAATTTCGATGCTGGTGGTAGCTGTATCACATGGCACAAAGATACGATCCTCGTATTTCGTGGTGATGTCTGGGTGATGCAACACAGCTCTTGCTAAAGTGGTTTTCCCCATTCCACCTGGGCCTAGAATTGCAATGCTTGCAGATTTCTCAGAAAGCATATTGACAATTTTCTGAAGTTCCGCTTCACGGCCGTGAAATATTGAGGGCTTGGCAGGCAACAGCGAAAAGGATGTCAAGCTATATCAAGTTGAACTCAGCATGCCTCTCCTCCATTTTTTATTAACATACCTAAACTCGGAGCCATTGAGCGTGTGGTACATCTTTTTGAAATTAGCACAAAATTTGACAATGAAGCAGAATGGATGTACCGAGGAAGCCCGATCAGAAGTTGTTCCATCTGAGAGCCCGGAAATCAGTTCAAGCAGTTCTTTCTGAAGATTTTCCGCTGTAGTCTGCAACTCCTCAATGTCAGTCAAAAATGTGGCCCCAGACCCAATCTAATTGGTGGTTAGGTGGAATTCAAGATGTTCAATGTAGAGAGGACCTTGAACACTCCCAGAGCATGTTGCACTCCTTCCTGACAATCTTTCAACAACATTTTCGTTTCAGTCTGGCGGAAGAAGTCCTTGATACGGTTTCCCTCTTGCTGTGCTTCAACAAATGTATGTATCTTGTGAATAGTTCTGGCAAGATCAGTAACATGTATCTGAGATCGATTTCCATGCAGCTTACTCCATGAACTTTCCAACATGATTGAGCATGGCAGGGGGGAGGTTTCCGGGAGTCTCCACCTTTATGTGAGCGGAAACAATACCATAGAGAACTCGATGAATAAGTTCCATAAGCTGAATACATTCTTCTTTGTTTTTCTTCACATTCTGGAAGACGAATTCAGATCAGAACCACCCGACATGTTTTTCTCACCTGGATGGCAGCAATTAAAGACAGAGTTGTGGTTGAAATTGCTTGCACAAATGGGGTCCCAAAAGTATCATGGAGTTCAGTAAGCAGTGTTACTGCTGGCTTCAAACAGGTGATGATGTTGTTGACCCGGTTTTCGGTAGCAGTGGGGTAGCGAGGCATTTTGAAAATTGTAGAACCGGGGTCATCGCTCCTTATAACAGTGCGCGTTCCCTTAGAAAGAGTCCAGAATACCGCCCGAGATGATACCCGGTCGCGACTTCGCTGCCGTCCGCTGATCAATAGCTGGGGTCCTGCACACATCCAACCAGAGATGCCTCCGCTAGCCTCCGTATGCGTTTGCTATACCGCCATGGATCAGGATCTGGCCACGAAGAGCCACGATGAAACAGCCTGAACCCCCGGTGAGACCAACGATAATTCGGACAATTCGGTCAGTACGCGCGGGGAAGGGACAATATTATTATCCGAGTCGTCAAGCGACACGAGAATCACAAGGGAACATGATTACGCCGTCGGCATATGCCACACTCTTCGCCGAAGATCTTTGGGTACGACCAGATCCCCTTATAGTTAGTCGCCCCGAAAAAAACGATTATGCGTTCCGAGTCGGCCTTTGTCCGATGATTTTGACCCCCTTTTATATCGCACAATCAGAGATATCCAACCAGAGATGCCTCCGCTAGCCTCCGTATGCATTTGCTATACCGCCATGGATCAGGATCTGGCCACGAAGCCGCGGCGCCACGATGAAACAGCCTGAACCCCCGGGGAGACCGACGATAATTCGCACAATTGACAATTGGGACACGACTCAGTAAGCGCGGGGAAGGGACAGGACTACGCCGTCGGCATATGCCAAGACGAAGGGCCTCGGGTGCGACCAGATCCCCTGATAGTCGCCCTAAAAAACGATTATCATTATGCGTTCGGTGACGTCAGGCTTTCTCCGATGATTTTGACCTCTTTTTTATCGCTCAGCCTGGTTTTAAGACATGCCCTGTATGATCATAGTAATGAGCACCGGAAGAAATCCCTCCCAGTGTTTCCCAGCCCGACGCAGCCTGTTCGTTGAACGGATGGATGTCCGTCCGCTCTCGAGCAAAGACCACGCTGTCAAGAATCGGCGATTCGCGTTCACTCCGACAGGCACTGAGTCAGCTACGAGGCACGGAAGTGGCACGGAGGTTTAGCACCTGGTTAAAAGATGGGGGAGAGGAGAAGGGGAGGGGAAGAAAAGAGATAGGTATGTAGGCCAGATGACGGGAGGGAATGAGGGAGAACGAAATGAGCAGACGGGAAGAGCGGAGAGGGGTCTCAGAGGGACCAGAAGATGCGGTGAACACTTGCGCTCTGTCGTGTCCGCCGAGCCGCACATTGTCGAGTACAGGCTCTCGAGCATCCATATCTGAAACGGCGCTTGCGCGTATGCGCCGCCTTCCGCCTAT